GTTTCACTATCATTTAGTGCAGGACGCGAGCAGGGGCAGCGACAAAGTGTTTATAGTGTATGCGTGTGTGAGAGTGAGTGTATTTGAGAAGGGGGATGCATGTGTGGCGCCTGGCTGTTCATTAGGTCCAATGGAGCAACTACAATGTCGGCACTCGCCGCTCTATGCAAATGAATGTGCTTCACATTAGCTGGGCCAGACAGCAGACGGGCTGATTAGGTGTAACGGGGGCGGCAGGGCAGGATATGGGAGTGGCAGCACTTTGTTAGCTTTTTTGCTTTCCGTTTTCAGTTTCATTGTAGTTTTCGGCTTTTGTCTGTGCTGTGGAAATGCTCTCTCGAATTGGGTCGTGCCTGCTGACCCCTTAAAGCAACTGCGCACGTTCATCATAGTTAGTGGGCACCGTAGCCACTCACATGTGTTTGCATTGTGCATTGGAAAATGTTGCCCCTTTCACATATGCGACCACTCAACTTCCGGTTGCCGCTGGACGACTCACGGCAATAACTTTAATGGAGCTTTAAGCCCCTTGTGGTTGCACGCGCTTCCCGCCTGCAGCAAATATTAACTGTTGGGCTTAATTGAAGTGACTTTTGTTTTGCCCTTTTGTCAGCAATTGCTGTGACAATTGAATTAGCGCAAATTAATTGCAGCTAATTGTGTGTGTGGGCGTGCAAGGTGTGAGTTGGTAGTTCGCAACGCAAATATCCCTCGAGCAGTTCTAATTAGCTTAGATTTGTGTGCTTTTTGGATTGATACAATTATTTAATTACAAACTTAAATTAACTAGAAGCCAAAAGGTTTATGGTGGCGCCCAATTTAAATTACGATTCAACTTAATCAAATTTTCTAAATAACCCTAATGCAGCTGTGAAATTTCTCTTCGAGTTATCCTTCAAAAAAATGTTTAGGACTACTTAAAAAAGAAATCGTTCAGCAAATTAATTCAGATCTTCAAATTAAAGTTTAGATTTTAGCTTTTTATATAATATTTGATTCTTGGCATACATTTTAATTAATTTTGCCGCTATGGACGAGCTGCCCCTCGCTTGTCAGCATTTGCTAAGCTCAAAGAATTTGTCATTATTTTCGCTAGCTGCTCGAATTCTTGCGAGCATTTTGAAAATGCTGCCATCGCAGCTAAATCATAATTGCAAATGCTCAAAAGGCATTTTAAGCCGTGGCCTCATACAAACTGCATATGTGAAATAACACACACAGTTGCACTCTCGCCGCAGATACATTTGTGCATGCAGATGCAGACGCTATCTGTGAGATACTTGCAACAGTTGCCGCACGCAGCGGCAACTCACGTATGTCAATTGCAATTTTGCAAGATGACTCGTCCTTGCCAGCAGCTGCTTCGCACATTTTTGGCATTTGCCGTTCATTTAATTTGTTGCTCAAAGTGATTCCCCCATACCCGCCCGTTTCCCCGCTGTGTCGCGCCTTTGTCATTGAGTTGCTTTTTACAATCCTTGAAAATGTTCGCAAAGGCGTTCGCATAGGCACAACATAACGTTCTTTATGTGTGTGTGTGGGAACATTACACGCAAGTCAAATAAAATTTTACGCTGCACACACACACACACACACACACAAACTCGCGGACACACATACAAATGCACATGCACATGCACTCGTTGGCACTCACTCACAAAATGGCGGCGCATAAAAAGCGTCTTTAAAATGCGCTCAGGAAATTGTTGCATGTGACATTTTAGATGCGGCAAAGAAAGTTGTCACAGCTATTCAAGGCAATTGGTCACATTTACAATATCTAGTTTCCAATTATTTGATTAAACATACAATTAAATAGAATACTTGCCTTTAGTTTAGGTTTATTTTTTATTTTAGCTTTTAAGAGTATTTAAGCTTCGGCTTTCCACAAGATTATTTGCATTTTCTTGTTACACGCTGATGTTGTGCAAGCTTTGGCATGTGCCTCAGTGACTCTCGCTGTGTGTGTGTGTGTGTACACACGTGCGGTTTTTGTAGTTGACACACTAACACACACTCGCACACACACACACACACATCTGCAGCTGTTGCGGCACGCAAACACATTTCATTTACGTTGAATTTTGTGCAAACCCAACCCTGCCACGCCACGCCCCGCCCACCTCCCGCCCCTAACTGTCAGTAAACTGTTCTCGCATACCTTGCCTCAATGTTACCCAAAACACACACACATATTTTCATTTACCCGTTGCCCTTCCGTCCAGTGTGCTTAAGCGTAAAATTTCGTTTAGTTTTTCAACACATAAAATAAAAATCAGCAACAAATGCAGCATGAAATGGTATAAAATGCTGTACAACAAATATTTATTGACCAAATTTCTTGTATAGATTTAAACAACGTGGCGGGGTAGAAAAGCTTTTTATTCAATCAATAATCAAACTGCATCAGCGAATACCCTGCTGGCATATAATTGATAGCAAGAATGTGTTTCTGGCAACAGATATAATCGCTACTAAACGCCCTACTTTTTCATCTATAAAATATCTGTGCCTATGACAGCTGCTAGGATTGCAACAAAGGTTCTTTAGGCGCTTAAAATGTATGGTTAGGGTTGTAGCTTTCACTGTGAAAATCGATTCAAATTATCGTCATCGATAGTTGTGTTATCGATAGCTCATAATTGAAATTTTGTCTGAAAACAATAATTTTTCTTAAATCATAAATATGTATGCATATTTTTTAAACGAATTTTCTACTCTAAAGAATTTAGCTCGGGTAGTCGGTTTACCCAAGCTTATATATTTTTTAATCACTTCTATTAATCCTCAGCCTTTTTTAACGAACCGCTAACCGCAAATACCCTAGAATTGTTTCTGCATGCTTTATGGGTTCTGCACTACTATGGCTTGTCGCATATTTTTGTTATCTTAGATTTGCATGTATTAAAAGGCGTTAGCTCAGCATACCCCACAGACCTCAATTAAAAAAGGGTATATTTTGGCCACAGTTGATGTTTGTCTTTTTTTTTATGGAAGGGTGGGTGCATTTTTTCTTTATACTGTGCGACTACGTTTGTTATTCGTGGGCATTTTTATAGACAAAGTTTTGATTTTTATTCTATTTTTTGTTTATTTCTATTGTTTTTTAGTATCGTTGTTGTTGTTGTCGCTGCTGCTGCTGCATCCGAGGCTTATTTGTCTGTGCCCAATTGATTGGGGTTTATTTGTGTATTTGTTTATCAGTTTGTGTGTGTGTGTGCCAGTTTTTAAATTAAATTTGAGCGGATTTTAAAAGTCAGCCACTTTTTTAGCCGTTGCCTTTTTTTTATTTTGTTCTTTTATGTGAATAGTTTCTTCACTTTTTTTTCGTTATTTTTAGGTTGGCCATTTATCAAACACTGATTTAATTTTATGAACTGGGATTCGGTACCATGAAATATTATATATTATATATATATATATACAAATGTGTCCATAGATACTTTGGAATTTATTCAGAGTTTGCAAACGATTTATCAATTTCCTGATTTATTTGCCATTTAACTGAGATATATGCATATATTTTTCAGTAGTTAGTTCTTTATAATCGCTTTTCATCCTGACTAATTGAGGTTGGCAATTTCAATTATGTTTGTTAAGTGCTTTCAATGGAAGCATGGAAAAACATTTTATTTTTCGTATTTTCAATTTAATAGTTGAATATTCATGGCCAATTCTGAGCAAACTCTGAGTAGGAAACAGCATTAGGTGTGTGCTTAGGAGAGTTCGTAAGAATATGGCCTAGCCATACTTCATCATACGTCAGACTAATACACATAACTTTTTTCATATTATGAGTCTATGTAAGTATTTAAAAATAATTCATTAAACGTTTTGTAGGAAATCTATTTGATATGACTAACTTCATAGCAAAAGGATTTATTCACATAACATAGCATCGAATTAGTATAAGTATTCTTGTAGAGTTTTTAAATTTTGTAGACCTTGACAAAAGCTGTTTTATGCCTTTTTGTTGACTTGAATGAGTTACACAGATGGGTTGTGAAACTACTGTCTTGCACAGCAATCTGTTATAACTGTTGGAAAACTAGTATAACAAATGTCTTATACAATGAAGGAAATTATACCGATTGGAACATATGTAATACTGTATAACAAACATTTTTTACAATGAGGGATTTTATAACTGTCAGTAATCAAGTATAACAGGCAACTTATAAAATACATATTTCTAGTGTTAGACTGTCATACCAATCCACATGCATGTCAGCCATAAATTTTCTGATTGCTATAAACAGCCCCTGTTGTAGCTCAGTTTACAACCATGAGTTTTTATATTATAAAATAGCAATTGTATGTCTCCAAAACTTCCCCAGGCTTCAGAAGGGGTTAGCCTTAGTGAGTTTTTTTTTCTTACATGTGAACAACGTTTTTTCAACGTGAATCACCATTTTATATTGTTAGTTTCAAGTAAGACCTTACAAATATTCATAATAATAATTTTAAAAAATGTTGTAATTCTAAAATGATTCTGACTAATTTTGCCTTTTGAAGAACTATCGTCCTATATAGACTTCACCCTCCCATTTGGGAATATACAGCTCGAGGGACGAAACTCCCTCAAGCAACGAAGTTTTAAGTACAAATATCAATAAAGAAAATGGGCCATTACTCGGCTGTATTATTGGGTATCCTTACAGGACACATGGCTAAAAATTGTACTGACCAGGCTTACCCACTGGCCAAAGGACATCAAGATCGTCCTTGTAGTTTCACAGATATAGCTATTTTATATACAATTTGTGTTTTCAGGCAATCCTCATTGTGGCCCGCGACTAAAAATTTACCAAGTCCAGGATTCTTAGATGACCCCATAATGTTTTAATGCAATTCGATACAGTTGGCCTCCACGATCCTAACGCACCATGTCCTTTAAATATACGCAAGGATATGGCCGAGTTGTGGCTATTTCTTTCCTCAAAATACCCTTTTAATTTTCTTATGACATATTTGATTCAAATGTGCTTTTATCTTTTCAGTTTGAAGGATTCAAGGACTCTAATCGATTCGAAGGACTTTTACGAATCTAACAAGGCTATTCCTTCCAGGATAGGACGTATTTTAAGCTAAATATAGCTATATTAATTTAAAATCATTAACAGCGTATTTGGGTTTCTGCGCTCTCAGTCCCATTTAAGTATGTACATATGTATATATATATATATATATATGTATATTTACATATGCATGCAACGATAATGCGCTCTCTAGTGCCGAGTACATGGCCAACAGTGCAAACTCAGCATAATTTGGCTAGCTACGGTCAATAACTCGCTTGTGGCTGATCATGCAAAGCTCATGGAAATGTTTGCGTCAATATATAATTCTTGTTTGTCGTTCATGTGCGCACATATATATGTCTATGTACTTACAATTGTGGACTGACTGACGGATTGACTAACTGACGCCCAGCCCCAGACGTATTGTACTGTACGTTTTCGAAAGGAATTGTTAACGAACTCCATTCGCAATTTTGGGTAATTCGAGAAAAGATACTTTTTCTGCACGACTGTTGCAGCGAAATTCTAAGTTTTGTTTCATTATCGACGATATAGCAAAATAATTCCAAAATGAATTCCACTCACAACTATGGAATATTGGCGAAAATAGTTATGTGAAACATTTTATTTTATCATTCGCTTTAGTCAATCGAATTAATTATGTGAGACGTGTTGCGCGTTTTTTGAACATATTTTACAACGGGAATCAAATGAACGGAAAGCTTTAAGAGCTTTAAGCATTAAGTACGTCGCTTAGCCCGGAAAAGGCCGGGTAATACATGCTACAGATATATGTTGTTATTTATTGAACGAAGTGTTGCGAAAATGAATGTCAAGGCATAACATGACGACAACTTGAAAGCGAGCTTACGGAGTACGATAACAGAACTTGATTATGTTTTGCTCTAGAACAATTCCAGGTTTCCAATAGCTCTTTCAGTTTGGATGCGAAACCTGCGAAGTTCAGACTCCATAATAATTAAATGTGTTACACATGCTTGTACTTTCTTGTTTTAAGCAGAAAACCAAATAAACTTGAGAGAAAAAAATAAATAAATATACAAATTTAAATATTGTGTAAATTTAAATCGTGCTAATTGCGTAAATTTAAAGCTTACTATGGATAATGCCGCTGAGCGATTCAGCAAATTTGAACAGAAAATGTTGGCTGGACTTAATAAAAATACAAACGATATAGAAAACCTCTACCGAATCATAATATGTGCCACTCTAATCGTTCTTGTTATTATCACAATACTATTTTTTATTAATCTGGAGCCAGTTAGGATTTGGCTGCACGCGCATCGAATTTGTGCATGCTGTTTTCCCAGCAGAGCCCGCGATGGAAAGAGAGAATATGACAAGCAATATATTGCTGAGATTGACGCAAATTTGGAAAAAGGTAAAGTAAATTTTAAGTTTTCTCATCGCAAAGTCGATGACAATCTGAAGAGTATTTCAAACACAGGAAATCCTTATCCAGTGGACCCAGGTATATATGCTGTCGCCAAGACGACGCCCTCACTTATAGCAACAAGCAAATGATTATCATCAAATGTACGAATGTGGCCACATTGACTATGGGGGCCTGAATTAACGACATAAATATGTTACGTCTTAGGAGATAATATTTTAAGATTTATGAATATACGATACGCATACGATAGAATACGCATTTTTGGGATAGTTCATTGCCTAATTTTCATTTAGTTATATTTTTATTTCCGGCAATATAAATATATATAAATATCTGTATAGAAGGAAGCTTAATATTGTTTCTTGATATTACTTCCTTGTATACCTATTCATCAACTTAAACAACAAACTAAACTGGCCTTAAAATTACTAAACAAGCACATTTAATCAATAACATTTTAAGCTGTTTGCTTCATGATGTGGTTTGTTAAAGCAAACCCCAAAATATATGTACATGAATATGGCAATATTCGCATGTAGCATGAAAAATATGTAAAATATTTAAACTCACACCTTTTCAAAGTTTTTAAATGCCTGTCAATATTTACGAATTATCTATATTTACTTAAATCATTCAAATATTGTTTTTGCTACAGTAACTAATGCATTAATTTTTACGTTTTTTGTGCTTTAAACATTAGATTAATATAAATAAATTGCAAAATAGATGCGTACATACAGAGTATATATTTATACACGTATGTATATAAAATGATTAAGGTTTTTACTGTTTATGTCATTGTCATTGACAATTAATAACTATTATGTTTTATTTAAAAACCTAAAATGTATTTTTATCAATTTAAATTAATTGCCAAATGATTAATTATGCTTGTTTGCGCATTTTGCATTATTTCAAATATATATGTTTCAAATATCTATTCTTTTCAATGGTTTTGAAATCTGCATTTGCTTAACAAAATACTTCAGAATTAATTTCTTAGAAGCTCCAGATTAGCTCCAGTTGCAGCTGATAAACGTAATTATAGCGGAAATAAGGAAGGGAAATATGTCATAAAATGGATTAAGAATTCATGAATCTTCAATTCTATATATTAAGTTATTTCATCTTAAAGGGCTAATCTCTAGAAAGTAAAGTAAGAAAATAACATTTCACTTATAATTTCCAAGCGAGCACTGTTATTACTTTATGATATGGTGTTAATTAAAATAATATTAGGCCCCGATATGTAGCTTCAACACAGCTGCTACAGCTTTCAACAGCTCTTGTTGCATCTTGCATCATGTTGCAAGCTGGCAACAGGCGAAAATGTTTTTGCGGCTTATCAGTTCGACCGCAACTGAAAATGTAATCATATCGTTAACTGCTGATTGGAAAAACTTAGCACACACATTAACACAGTAAATGAAAAACCGGAAAACAGACAGATTTGGTTACCGAAGCGTCAAATGAATGTAATTAAACTGAACCACAAAATTTCATAATAAATGCCAGTGAACATATTTCCAATATGGCACAAAAGAGCACGTAGCTCTATGATCAGAAACGAGCAGAAAAAATTAACTTGGCCATAATCGTAAAACTGCCCGGCGCACACTTCACACTTGCGGCTGCGTTTGGGTTTTTGGTTGCGCTTAACAAAATTCTTTTTTGGTTTTTTTGTTTTTTTGCGCCCCCCGTTGTAGCCAGTACCAACTTTATTAAAAATCACTTAAAAATAACCAAAATAGCTGGCAGGGCGACCACGTTGATATTGGGGATGATGATGATGATGATGATAGGGCTGATGATGGCCACGATGATGATGATGATGTTACCGGCTTTCGATGGTGGCTGCGGCATAAATTTTAGCATAATTCAGGCAACAGCTGTTGCCACAAACGATAAAGGCCATGAATGGAATACAGCAGCAGCAGCAGCAACAACAACAACTAGGAATAGCCATAAGCCAGACGTTCAACTCTCGCTGTATATGGGCGCATATAAAGCCGTTTGGAATCTTTATAAACACACAAAAATTTCCAGTATGACTTCATTTTTCAAATTCCTGCGAAATTTAGCCCATAGCCAAGTCTTATGTGTTTGTGTGTACTATGTGCTTCTTTTTTTTTTTGGCTCGGAAAAGTCAGAGCCAAGAGTCGTCGCTGGCAGGTGTTGCATTGAATTAATGGTGCAAATGGCATTTCTATTGCCTGCGAAATTGAGTTGCAATAAATATTTATGCACTAAAGTGAAAAATTGGCACAGCAAAAGACAGCTTTGAGCGTTGGCGACAACGAGAAAAGGGCACAAAAATGAATCAAGTTGGTCACTGGGCACGTGCATGTGTGCGTGTTTGTGTGTGTGTGCTTGTGTGGGTGTGTGTCTTAGTGTGAAATCAAAGTTTGCAAAATGAAAAATAAATATTGCCATTACTCTACTGCAGTCAGCGAGGCGCTGAGGTAGAGTCTGAGCCCAAACCTAAGTCGGAGTCGGTGGAAAAAACTGAGTCTGAGTCGGAGTCGGAGTCGGAGACGGACACGGAGACCGAGACCGAGTCCGAGTCCGAGACCTGAGGCCGATGTGTCTATTAATATTCATATATCGAGGCAAGTCGGTGCCAACAAATCAAATGCAGACGGCGTCTGGCAACACAAACAAAGACCAGGGTTAAGACCAGAAAACAAAGCTGGCAATAAACGAACATTTAATGCACTTTGGCCCAGGTGAAACATCTTGTTGTAGAGCATATCAGGGCTTTTATTTTAAGGAAATTCCAGCTCGACTTAAGTAAACGTTTGCGTAAATTGCATAAGGAATAAGGGAAGTGGGTGTTAGCTATGGTTTAGCTGGGAAAAAAAGTGTAAAAATGCGAGGAGGAAAGACGCGCCAAGCTTATTTTCCATGGATTTTCGTGTACTTTATTTATTTCTAGCGGTTTGCTTGCCAATATTAGTAAAAAAAAATTATTGATAATAAAGCCATAAAAAATGTAAATTAAAGTTTAAACTTGTAAATTGAAAAAATAAAGTGTGTTGAGGCTCACATATGGTATAAAAAAGGCAAAAACATGAAAAAATAAAACTTAAAATAAAACAGCCAGCTAGTTAATTTGGATTAAATATATATTAATAAATAACCAAATATATTAATAATTTAATGAATTGCTAATTAACTTTCATTAGAAACAAAATGAACATTACCTTATTTCCAACTGTTAGACCCTTCGTATTTCAATTAGTTATTTTATATATTGGTCACAATTTGCATAAGTTTTTTTCACTTAACACCTCTCCCAAACAGTCCGTTCGACAGGTAACTAGCGGGAAAAGGAAAATAGTATATAATAATATTGATTAATTAACTAAATAAACCTTTGTTAAGTCATATATCAAAGTACCCTACAAAATGGAACTAATTACTTATTTTCAATTAATTATTTAAACTTGACAATCTTGTATATAGTAAAGTACCATAAAAATGGCATATTCCAATGGTATTCTTATTAATTATAATAATTATTATTATGGCCTTTATAAACTATAAAAAGAGTTAAGTTCTTTTATGGAGGTCACGTATATTTTTTTTTATTTTCATTGAAATGACTTAAATATACATAGTTATTCGAGTCTATTTCTTAATTTAAACATTAACATTAAAGTATATCTTAATTAAATGAAAAATGATTAAAAATAAACGAAAGAATATTTTTCCCCTTATTAAACAGTTTTATACTTTGCCATTCTGCAGCAATTAATACAATTATTATAGGAACAAGGAACAAAGAGTGAATAAAAGTTGGTACATTGTTTATTTAACTCAAATCGAGCTACAGCTTTCGGTTTTTGTACCCTTTTGCAGTGTATTCAATCAAATCCGAGTTCATTGTTTACGCTCGACCATAGTTTGTGCCGTTGGCTTTGCATGTTGGAATTGTGCGGCGGATGGGCTTAGGAGGGACTTTGGGCTGGTCAAGTCGTTACCATTTCGTCTGCCATTACGTTGGAAAAATCTGTCAATTACAAGTAAGAAAAGCGCAAAAGCATGTCTATCACACGGATACTCAGACACTGGCCAAGTATTGTGCACAAACAAGCAGTCGATTGGGCCGTCAAGTGGCACTGAAAACTGACTCTTAGGAGGAGGATGGGGTGGGGACAGGGAGAAGGAGCTGTAAAAGGGTACAATCCGACCGTGGCTGGGATTCTGAAGTTGCCATGCCTGCGCCTGTTTGCCATTTGTTAGACTGGGTCTAGGCGGTTCATGATGTTTGCCACGTTTGAAATTAATTCGTTGGAAATGGCGAGAGTAAGACAAACGGTTGAGCCAGACGGTCAAATTAAGCCGCTATAAATATGGCAAGTGTGGCAAAACGTGAAAGTTACACATCAAAATACAGCTAAGGACATATAAGCACCTGGGCTGTATTAATTAAATACTTAAACTCAATAACTAAATAAACGAAAAACATCGAACCCTAACTCAAGCCCGAGAAATATCAGAACACGAACCGTGCAAGTATTTTTTGTAAATGGCTTGTTTTACAACATAAATAAAATAATTGAACGCTAACTACTGAACTTATCTGATCATATTTCACAGATGCCAATGGAGATCAAAGTGTGTGCCAATTGAATGCAAAACTATGTATGCCCGGCTTTCAAAAGAACGGGCAGAAATACATTGCATTTTTGTAAGCAAATGACAACTCAATTTTTTGAACCAAAGCCTGGCTTTATGTGGATATCGATGTGGAGAGCTGACAATTTTTTGTTTGCCCTGTTTATTATAAATATTCATATACCCTACCAATCAGCATCTGCTGCAAGTTAACAAACTAGAAGCTACCTATCAAGCGATATCGCCTCCTGGCAACAGCGGGCAGCAATAGCTGCGAAAAGGCAGAGAAAGCGGAATCCATAAGGAGTGGGAATTGTAGAAAATGAAAAGCTGAAAAAGACAAACGCACGACAAAATTTTTCACGATTTCTTTTTGTTTCCCTTTTTTTCTTTATTCTTTTTTATTTTTTTGTTTTTTCTTACCAGCATTGTAGGCCAGAAGAACAGCGCGGAGGCCGTCGAGGACGTGGACAGGAGCTTGGCAGGCTCGGTTTGTTTTTTAGCAAAAGCCTGACAAACCTGTCACGTGATTGCTCAACTGAAGCTTAGACGCCGAGCCAGCGCTGCGGCAGGACGAGTCGGTCCAGCTGTTAGGCCGACGTCAGCCAGTAATAATGACACCCCCCACCCCATCAAACATCTCACACCCCAAACACGCCCACAGCCTACAAGTAGCCAGTTGGGCACGGGCCTATTCACTCGACTCTGTCGTCACCGTGGCCATGCGCGGTGTGTGTGTGGGGTGTGGGGTACGGTGCTGTATCCTGGACAGTACCTATGTCATAGTCGTAGCCATGGCGACGATATTTTTCTAGTGGCTGAAGCTTTTTAATTGAATTTTCCGCTATTTACGACGTCGCAGCAGCCATAAAAGGACGAACTATCCCAGCGAATGGCAGACACTGAGCGGCACGGAAATATGGAAATATGGCAGCAGTTGGAGAAAAGCGAGAAAGAGTTGCCAGATACGCGTAGAACGTAAAAGGGAAATTGTGTAAAATTTATTCATAATATATAAGCGCTTCGGTCCGAGCTGCCCCGCAGGCCTGGTCCCTACGTTTTTTAAGTAGTCCCGCTCTATTCTTTAAAACGATTTTTTGTGGTCTTGTGAGCCAAGAAAATCGTGCGAAAAGCTTTAAAAAATATTATATATATACTTTTTTTTTTTCTGCGCCTTTCTTTGTTGGCCGAATAACGCAAATATTTTCCGCATTAATACGCCACTTTTTGTTGCGTAATTATGATTCTAAGAATTATCATCAAAGTGAAGTGTGAATTGCCATTGTCCAGGAAATTACCACTGGTTCTTTATAGTGTAAATAATGTTCTGTCCAGTTGCAAAAGTTGTGGTTGAATGTACTTAAGGGTATTTTTGGCATTGTAAATTATAAATATTATTTTCATTTATTATAATTTGATTCATTATTTAATTGTATATTAATAATATCGATTTTGTTTAAATAAATTATATAAATAATTGATCTATTATCTATTTACTTACTCTTTACCAACTACATATTGGAAAGAGGAAAGTGATAAATAAACGAGCTGTTGTTACAGGGCAACACCTAGTCGAGCAGCATCCACTGGTATTTGATTGCTTGTCCAAATTGTGGTCTATTCGATTGTTTCATATTTTAGACTTCAACAAAACAAGCCATTAGTAAAGTCAATCGAAGTTGACAATTGTCAACTGAAAATATATACAATTGAAAATATATTGTAAAGTACCAGCTGGCCGCAATGTTTTCAAATTGACAAGCTCAAAAGACAAATGCCAGTCCATCAAGTAGATTTGGACTGTATTTGTGCCTCAAGTCATACAATTTAACCCAAATAGAAGGCAACTCCTCGACCGCAATACACAAGTTTCCCATTCTATGCAAAGTACACTGCCAGACAGTTTTCATCTCAAGCAGCAAAGAAAAAATAAAAACAAATAAATATAGAGAACAAAATATTATTCCTGAATATTGTGCAGTTGATTGCATTTAATAGAATCTCACAATACTCTGGGCAAAGTCTGCTGAGTTGCTCTGGGATTATTTTACCAGAGCTTATTTGGTTATATTTTTCAATTTCCGTAGTCTTTGTTTATAAACCACACACACTCACACACACACAGGCACACTCACGCACACATAATAGTCACTTAATAATAATCAAATGCACTCGAGTCGCATACATCTTAATTTTGGCAATCGGCATTCCGCACAGAGCACCTAACACAAAATCCATTTTCCACATGCAGCCTAGTTAAATAGTTTGCTGCTGCTTCATTTGTTTATTTTGCAAATAGAGAAATTAAAACACATATAAATATTTATACTTCATAGAGTATATTATATTTTCTCGGCGCGTTACTATTAAAATAATATACATTGGCTTTAGCTAGCAAGCCAGATAAATCGAATTAATTTTGTATATAACTAATATATACAAATAATGCCTTCAAAATTTAGTTGTAGTTATTTACTCTCGTGCTCAACAAATACATTAACCAACTAATAAATCAATTAAGAGTCCTCCACTAAAGAGGGAAAGTGCTTATTGAAACTGTTTCTCCGCGAAAAATTAGCATTACAAAATTATTTACTATGCTATTAAAATCATTATGGACTATTATTCAAATAACATCAATTAACCTTATGTTTATGAATGAATACAAAACTAAATTAAATTTCAAATATGTTTGGATAAATGAATGCATGAATGAATAATAAATAATGCACCGTAATGCTTAGTTAATATTCTTAAATTGATTTTATACAATTTACAATTTAACAAATTAAAAAACAGACATAAATTGTTAAATAATTAACTTGCAAGCGCATTTATTATTCGGTTCGGTAATACAATTTTTAATATTTGGAATTTTGTATATGTTATTGTAACTAGGACTTTTCTGCTCAGATGCCTTCGATGCTTTCGTCGCCTCTCATCGCATTTGCTTGCACTTTTGTTCAACAGTTCGGGTGGGGGAATGCAGTAGGACGACCACAGCTCCTGGGCAGCAGACTGTACTCGTAGATACAAAAGTACACGTAATTGGGCTAATGGATATTTCGGTACTAACACAATTTTGCTAATAAAGTTCGCAAACACACAGAGAAGCACGGAGCCGGCCTGTCGAGCGGCAAAAGCAAGGGCACCCAGATGGACGGGGCTATTGCAATAGGGATAGGCTCAGCGACAAGGACTAGAAACAAGGACCTGGCAGCGGCAGCTGCAGCAGCAGCAGGTTGTCTGCACTTTTTGTCTAGTCTTCTGCTGCAGCTTTTGGCAACTCTCACAGCAGGCAACAACATTTGCGTATAAGTGCGTCTCTATGTTTTTGTTGACAACTCCTTACTGGTCACACAAACACTAACGCTCACACACACACACGCACACCTACACTGATACAAGGTATACTCTGATTTATATTGCGCTGCCTTGCTCTGAGACCTACAACCTACAGGCCAGTCGAAAAGTTTTCGTACTTAATGTTACTTAAACTGTAGCATGCTCCTCTATTGAATTTAATAATTGCTAACTATGTAACCACATTTATTCGAATTCCCTATATAATACAAACGAAGTGTCTAAAAATGTATCATATAACTGAGCATATGCAAATAAAAGGATGCAGTTGACCCTTACATTAATAGAAATTTAATAAAATAACAATAAGTATTGGCTTAAAAAGATGGAGGATTT